ATACTGACAGGAGCCCTTCATCAGGGCAGAACTCCACCATCACAATCTTATGATAATCGATACCTTTGGTATCCTTGAGGACAACCATTAGTCTCTGTGTTTGAGAACAATTTACATTTTACTTAAAGAACTGACCCTGATGTGAATCAAACCCACAACCTTCTGATCTGGAATCAGACACAGTACGATTGCGCCACAAGGTCAGTTATTAATAGTGTGATTTTTGTTTTGACAAATGTCTGAGGATTAAACTAATCCCTTTATTCTTTCTATAAAGGATGATGCAGCCTGACACATACAATACTAGTGTTGCAGAGGTGACATCAGCAGGTGAAATTCGACATGTTAACTCCTTGGTTGAGTATAAATCCAGCTTTACCTGTCACGATTACACCGTTAACCTCAACCAAAACCTAAATCTAACCTTAACCGTAAAACAAAATGTTAATTTCTAAACAGTCAAACATCACCCAATGTACCAAATATCCTCATAAGAAAATTCACAGCCTTGGTCGTCACACAGCACAAACACACAGAGACTGAGTCAATCTTTCACTTCCTGTAACACTTCCACAGGAGGTGGAAACTGATGACTCACCGATCATCAGTTGGAGGGAAAACTATAAATCACTGCAGCAATTTCACCTTGATGTGGACATGGGTCTGATTATAGCTGCAAACAGCAGAAATGTAGTGACGCTTCTAAAGCAGTCACTCTAAAAATAGGTTTGCTTTTTCTTCAAATACAGACTATTGTGTTGTTTCTGTCATCTGGGTGCTGTTGTCTCATAGTAATACATGTCTGGCAGTTAAACAACTATGTTTTGTCTTTCTAACCATCTTGCATCATCAACCCATGTGGAGGAAAGAGGCAGCCAGCAGCTAATCCACATCAGTCAGGTGAGGGTTGAGGGGTCTTGCTGGTGTTGGGTTGCAGTCAGTAAACCATCGGATGGTGCCATCTATTTCCTGCTCTATGTTTTGGTTGCTTTGTGAACTCTCCTCTGCAATCACAGAGGAGTTTGACAGCTGTGTTCAGAGTGACTCTGGGAAATGTATGAAATCACCCGTGTGAGCAGAACATGGTGGCTGAACACACTTTTGCACCACTTTAACACTTAAGAGGGTAGCTGTCACAGCTAAGAGTACGGGTTAGTGTGCTAAATAAACCAGCTAAAAGTTAACACACAAATGTTAATGTGTTTAGTGCACTTGTCACATTCATTAAAATGCCTTGACCTTAAAAGGTGAGCAGCACATTTGGGTTTCAGAGGACATTAATTATGGATTCTCATTTACAATTCTCTCTGATCTCTTTCTGCTTAAGATAGATCCTAACAAAGCCTCTGTGTGATTCAGTTGCCATAAATATGTATTTCAAATGAACACTGGCTCAGGATATTAATAATAAGGGTTTGAATTATTTGTGTCAGCATGGTAGAGTTTATTGAGAAGCTCCAGGACGACTGTGAACATGTATAGTCCGCCCCACCTCCCCTGATTCAGATGAGACAAGCCAGCTCAGTCCATTCTTATGGATCCTACAATAGTTATGGACAAAAGAGGACGTCCCACCTTCATTATTACTTTGAACTTAACCACACCAAACATTTATCTAACTCTCTGTAATCTTAACAACAGACAGAAGGATAAGTGCTACACTGTGCAGGCAGCCAAGAAGCAGTTTACAGTGTTAAGACTATGACACATGGGATAAATGAAAACTTTTCATCTTGCCAAAATGTAGCACAACTACTTTAGCAAGGTTTCAACTCACCATAGATTATCATCATTCTTTTTCTTTAGACATTTATCTAAACTCAATATCTTACACTGTATGTGTTGTTCGGTATAACATTTAATCATGGCTGATTTTATACAAACCAATATTTATGGTCATATGGTTTACATAAATTTTATAGCTAAAAAGACCTTGATAAGGATTCTGAACACCTCTTCAGGTGTCTGTTAAGATTTTTGAGGTTTTTGCTCTGGATTTCTGTAGAGTTCATTATACATGGTTTGCATTCAAAAGCAAAAGAAGTCTATTTTTTCTGTGTTGCCCATTTGTCTGGGTTGTTCCTGGGCTGGTGACCTGGTTCCTCTGCCATGATGGAAACACAGCTGAATGAATTTCTAATACGATTATAACATATATCATACAAATTGATTCCAGGTCACACTGGTTACAGTTCTTGGAGGAATAAACAGCTCAAGTACTACTCAGAGGAATCACAAGACTGAAATTGTGTTAAATGAATTGTTTTTAAATGAAGGATTTGTTTAAAAGAATATTTAGTATAAGGCACATAAATGAGTAATGTTTTACCTTTTATTACAAATCTGAGTAGGCTATTATTAATTTCTAAACATTTTCATATCAAATTGTTATATGTTGAATTATTTACTTTCATGATCAGATGTTTGTTTTATGTAATTTGTCATCTTGATGTTGAGAAGTAGCTAACGCATAGAGATACTGCATTAAACAGTTAAAGAGCGGTATCCCTCAGGAGTTGGTGGAGATGAGCTCAGTGCTGGAAAGAGACAGTGAGTATTGAAACTTCAGGTTCTGCTGCATAAATCATGGTGAAAATAAACAAATGTTTGCTGGAAAGTTTTGATAATATGTCAGTCTTGTGCTTACGCCTTATTTCTATTGCCTCCATGTGGCCAAAAAGTCTGTCAATACAAGTTAAATGCTGCTCCAACTGCAGGTCAGGTTTTAATTGTTTAAGTAGAACTAGCTGTGAAAAGACAGAGTAAGGAGATCAAGCCTCCAGTCCCTGTAAATCCCATTAGTTACTACCAGCTTTACAAAGTTATATTGTATGCTCCAGTTTTACCAACTTGTTCAACTGTACTCATGCCAGAAATAAACTTGAGCATCCCATGAAACAGTACAACAGCCCTTTATGTCCCATAAATGCTACTGTACCCTCACTTGATATTAGATCCCACTTGTAATCAGTTGTTGCTAATGACAGCGTGGCCTCTGGTGATGTCTATATATAGACCTATAGCAGAGATGACCAGTGAAGCATAGAGGACAAGAGACAATGTTCTCTCAGAGAGAGCATGAGGCATGTCCTTTCTCTTCTCTCAAGAACCTAAAGGCACGTGTGAGGAGTGCTCACGCGTGCCTTTATGTTACTCTGTCCTGTCTTTTTCCTCTACATGCAGCAAAAAACAAGCATACACAAACACATGTGCAGTACACCTATACATGTGTGCATCCCTGTGTGTTATACAAACACTTTTTCTTTCTTGATCTGTTATTACTCCACACATACTGCACACCCACGTGCACATACTGTCCTATCTTGTATAATACAGTATGACTCCACACGAGGGCAGGTCATAAATATAGGGTTCCTTCTGATGTACAGGGCAGCGATGAAAAGGACTGACCACACGCTGTCAAAGACACAGTACACTCACTGAAATACATGCAGAGAGACACATGCACACATACAAACACACATGCACAGAAACTACAGTATGCCCTTCATGATCCAGCTTAATTAGCTGCACAGCTCTGGGAGTCTAGAACAGGACAAGGTGGAGAGTGAAGAATGTGACTTTGTGTGGGCAGCATCTCAGACAGATGGTTAGTTCAGTGATCTGTTATGAAAGAATACCTGCACTATTGCAGGAATATGAAACGCTGTGATTTGTAGCAGTTTCTCCTTTGTGTCTGTGCACATGAACCTGTCCTGGGTTCGTCAAGCTTGTCAAGAGGAGTTGCAGACTGTCACTTAGAACAACTGAGCATTCTTTAATTTTCTGCCCCTCTGATGCAGGGTGGGTTATGTTTAAGCATCAAACTAACTAGGTCATACAATGTGTCATCCCACTGGTCTGAATGTTCATATTGAAGGAAAAGCAAGAAGCCGGCCACTGGTATTCTGTTAAACAGGGATAAAGCCACGCAAGTTCAGGTAGTCTCTCCTGGAGCTAAAGAAGTTGGATAAAAAATGATAAAAGTGAGCGTTCACACCTTCCTACTCCTGACCAGCAAGTCCTCCAACCTACATAAGCATATATGCCACTGGTCCCCTACCCTCTGACAGGACACAAAGGAGTTTGTCCTGAAGCAGAGCTCCTATGGCGGCAGGCATACTGGATAATCTTTGGCATGGTTACAATAATAAATGTGGACCATACCACTGATGATGTGGGCAACTGGACCTTTGCTGTAATGGTAACAGTAATAAACACATACTAGCTTCGTTAGGTTTAGACACTAAACATAACCTGTTTAGGTTTAGAGAAAGATCATAGTTTGTGTTTACAGCTGTCTACCGAAGGCACATAACAGCTCGCGTGTTACACTACAGTGATTTTCTAATGGGCTTGGAGAACTTCCAAAATACTAGTGACCTACAGCTCAGTATTGTACCTGAACTCCTCCTGCGCAGACACAGAATGCTGCTCACACTACACATGTAGACATGGCGTAACAATCAAAAGTAGCTATGGGTCGTAACAACCTTTATGCATAGATGACCTTAAAGCTTTTGGGGGGGGGGGACAGTCCCCTCTAAATGTTGTGTAAAGCGTGTGTACATTGTCTGTTTCTGATAGTTCCAGAACATTCTGGGACACAACAAGTCAAGAGTTTGCTTTCAGTAGTTCAGACAAATCCACTAGCTTTGCTGTAGTTTAACTTCTACATTTTCAAACACTGGCTGCGGGTTTATGTAAAACATTGTCTGATTGTCTGACTGACTTCCTTTTACTAGTTTCCGACAGACAAAGCTCAACAACTTCAGCAATTTGGTATGCACAATCATATAAAATGACAAAAAACTAAACCAAAATGAAACATAGAAAGAAAGGTTAGAGAACAGGACGATCAATCGTCCACTTCATTCATAGAAAGAAAGGTTAGAGAACAGGACAATAAATCGTCCACCTCATCCAATTCATTTCTATACAGATAGCCTCACCCATCCAGCTGCTGCTGTGTTTAGCTTGTACACTAAATGCTAGAGAAACACAGGTGGATGCCGTTTTTGTATGCATAATTTATTTCTCACTGACACTGTTGACCAACAAATACACATAATGAAGTCTGGTACCTCCTCTCTCAGACTGACACACAGATGCAGAGCAACAGCAGTGGTACACAGAGCAGCGTTCAAGGCAACACAAGCTACAAGTGTCCAGCATCCTAAGTAACGCCAAAAAAAAAACAAACAAAAAAAAGAAATGCTGCTGGGATCACTTAGACTATTTCTGACAAAGTTATAAAGTTGATTTTAAAGCTGATGATGTTTCTGCTCTGACAGGTCTGTCCACTCTGAATGTTTTCATAGTGACACCTGTATTTTCATTATGTTCAGTATTCAGTGATCTTTTGTAGAAGCTGCCATTGTTTTGGGATTCCAACTGAATGCTAAAAAGCAATGTTTGGTCACTTTGTGTTGGATTTACAAATCATGGTACATTTTTAACATTTTTCCATTTCTTTTTCTTTTTCCAGGCCCCAACAACTCTCACTTTGACATAATGACTTCAAAAAGTACTCAACATGGCAAAATACAGCAGCGTTGGCAGATTAACAGTATTAGTTATATTAATATCAAGAACAATTAGCCTCATGTACACAATGAGAAACATGTTTGCTGTAAATGTTTAATCTGCACTTTTGAACTCAATCATATAAAAACAAAAACAACGATTTTATGTTACTGTTTTGAATGCTCCCACACACCTTCACGACTGCTGCCAGATCTCCCTAATATGACAGACAATGTTAGCAGTGTTGCAGTTTTGCTTGATTCAAGATGGCATGTACAATTGTGCCATTTTAGGGAAAACTATTTCTAAAAACGTTGCTGTGCAATGTGACACCTGCTGAGGAAAATGACTGAAAATTAAGGTGACGATGTGCAGAACTTCATATCATTTAAGAAATTTAGGACTGTTTAAGATAAAAGGCATGTGTCAAAAAAGGGATGTAAACAGTATCAGCTAACTGCAGGTGAGGAACTTAAAAATAGTTGTCTGGCAGCACTGTTTCAGTAAAGGCTGCCATAAAGTTTAAATTATATTTTACACCTCCAGTGTGTAGGTCCCCATACTAAAATAATAGCCTTACGTTTCACTGCACTATGGTACTGTTTCTCTTCTACACAGTGCTGTCAATATAATGTCGTTGAACCTAATACATTTGGCTTTCAAACTGAGCTGGATACAGTAAAAGGCTTTGGTTTAGCTTTTTTGTGTTTGTGATTTCAGTGGACTGAGTTCTGACTATTTTGCTGCCTGTGGTAAAAATGAAAAACCAAAATGGCTGACTTTACATAAGAAAGACTACTCTAAGCCTTCTTGCTATCACAGTTTATGAGCTGAGGTACTTTATAAGGCTTCATTATTAACTTCAGTACTTTCAACAAGAATTACAATTACATTAGAACAATAACCAACAATCTTTTCTGTTACACATCTGCTCTTCTTTCATATTCCAAAGTGGCACATTTAGGTGTCAAACCCCGATCATCTACATCCGCTGTTTGTCCAGCTGGGTGTCCATGCAGTCTGAATGCAATACTCACCCATGTAGAGGATGGTCTGTTTAAATAATAACACTTAAATACTCAAGAATGTCTTCCTACATGTAGGCATGAATGACTCCTGTCACAGTTGGGACATTGTCCAAAAATTCAAATTGTTTTTCATAAGGTCCTCATTAGCCACACTAAGACATGACTTTAGGGGTCAGACTAAAATATTTAAACATTTACAGCATGGACTGGCATAGAATGTGGAACATACATTCATGGCCCACCGAGGCTGAATCCTAAAGACTTTGGTGTGTTTTGACTTTTCAAATAGTGCAGCAGTTCAAAATTTTTCCAAAAACTAATGACTTGTCAGACTCAGCTGCACTTTGGAATTAATGCTAACACAGCATGTTAACATGCTAACTTTAGCATGCATTATAGCTGCACAGCTGCTGATAAAGTACAGCTTTAGTCATTAGTGACATGAGCGAGACTAGCTGTCAGCCTGAGATGTCACAACATGGCCACTGTGCAAAGGATAAACCCTGTTGATTGACAACATGACCAGGTGAACTGGTGCCACCTTCAGGCCAGGCTCTAATATTTGTGCCCCTGTAGTAGTAATGATCTAACAACAGCAAAAGGGTTTTTCCATTTTTCATTCACCCAACAAGCTGTACAGGTTTTGCTCCTGTAGCTTCAGATTGTTTACTTCTTTAGTCTCATTCTGGCTTGTTAATGTGCCATTACCCCTAGCATCTACAGCTACGTGATCTGATTTCAGCCTGTCAGGCCAGAAGAAATGTGCCATGTTAGGTGCTTCCTTTGTCCACTGAGCTGAACTGTCGGGATGTGCTACTGTATATTCCAGGTAGACATCACTTCTTCACACTGAGGATGGTCATCTGTAGACACTCCTCCTTCAGAGCCACCAGTTCTGTCTTGTAGCTGCTTGTCTTGCCTCCATCAGCATAGACACAAGGCTGCTTCTTTGTTGACAGTGGTGTTTCCATTGTCACTGAACCAGTGTTGAGTATGTCAACATGCGATGGTGAGGAAGAGGAACCCCTCTGGCAGGCTGCAGACAGTAAAGCTGAGAGGGCTCGGCTAACATCGTGCCTTGCTCCCTCATTAACAAAACAGTACAAGATGGGGTCAGCAACACAGTTGAGGCTGGTCAGGGCCAGTGATACATGGTATGCTGCAAACAAGCTTTCCTCTGAGCCACAGTCACATGGCTTCCTTAGAAACATCACACTCCGCACCAGGAGTAAGACGTGGTACGGCCCAAAGCAGAGTAAAACGATCAGGATCAAACTCAATGCCAGAACATCACACTCCGCACCAGGAGTAAGACATGGTACGGCCCAAAGCAGAGTAAAACAATCAGGATCAAACTCAACGCCAGCCGCTGAATTTTGGCCTTTTCCTGGCGCTCTGTTGAGATATTGCAGCGCACTGCAACCAGAATTCCACGGTAGGCAACCAGCATAGCTATCCAAGGTGCAAGGAAGCCTAAAAATGTCCTGTAGAGGTTCATCCCTGCCACCCAGTCCTGCATGGGATATTTCTCAAAGCAGAAGGTGTGGTTGAACTGATCCCGGAAGAGCTCGTCGTGGAAGAGAGGAGCACAGTTGGCTATAATCTCAATGGTCCACACTATGGAGCTGACCAGGACAGCTGAAAGAAGTTCGGGAGAGGAGGAGGATATGAGAGCAAAGAGAAATATTGGATGATACTAATCAGATGCAGTACTTTGTGAAATGGTATTTAAGAGTCTCACTGTTATTCATATGAGGAGTTTCCTATTTGCTGAAACGTCTTTCATCACATTGTGTTTCTCGAAAGGTTAGTCCGGGTCCTCATTTGTAAGCTTGGCTTTAGTGCAGTGTCATTATATATTTTTTAAGAATTATGGCTTTAACAGACATCCTCATTTAATTCACATGGAAGTGGTCTTATCGCTACATAAACTTCCTGTTTTGTCAGATTTGAAGTTGCACATCCCGTCAGGGCTTGGCAGTAACACAGTTCGGGGAACTATTGTCAGATGTGATATCTCAATCTTGTAAAAGCAAGATGGAATGTAGTGCACCATGTAACAAAGACATATCACAATTGTTTGTTTTGACATGGGTTTCACAAGCCCATCCTTAATCCTACATACCTGTTTTGATTCGTCGAACTTTGGCGAAGCGCAGGGGATATGCCACAGCCAGGTACCTGTCTAGTGATATACAGCAGAGGAAAGCGATGCTGACATAGATGTTAGTGTAGAAGATGAAACCAAACAGCTTGCAGCTCTCTTGACCGTGGATCCAGTCATCGTGCTGCAGGAAGTAGTCGATCCAGAGAGGAAGAGTGGCAATGTAGAGGAGGTCAGCCACCGACAAGTTCATCAGGTAGATGCCGAGCTCATTTCGCTGGCGTACCTGAAGGGAGAGGATTGGGGAGGAGAGAGGAGGGGGATGAAGATTTAAAGCTCAAAGAGTAAATGGATTGAGACAAAAATGAGCAGGTGCATTGATGAGGTTAAGATTGTGTCTGTGTCTCAGCAGATAATGAGGCAGTGGCTCACTTTGCATGCAAACCTTTAAAATGTGAAGGGTAGTAAAATGCAAATGATGTGTGTTTGTCAGGCCATTTGGCTTAATGTGATGTCAAAACAGGAACCATATGCAAAGTCTCTGAAGGACTGATTAGCTTTGGTCAGTATACTGGGCTGTTGTTCTGTAGAGTCTTAGACACATGATGCTGTCCCTAAAAAACAAACAGGTGCTCTTTGCATGATGTGGACTTAAAAATGAGAGGGAGACGTGGGTAGATAGTTTGGAGGCAGCAGTTCCACATGTCCACTCTACAGCTTCCATTATGTTTGTCTACTGATCTGCCAGGTCTTTGACATTTGAAATTTGACATTTCTAGGGGACAGCTCTGTTTCCATTACAGTACAGTGTTAATACTGTCATTAATAAAGCTGGTGGCAACACCTTTAATGCTACTAAGCACTGAAGAGTGTTTGGTAACTACAATAACCATAATGCACCTCTGCCACTGTGCTGCTGTGAGCTGTGGTGTATTTGTGCCACAGCAAACTGAATGTAATGTAAAGTGTTGAGATGGAAACCAAAAAATAAGCTGATGTTGAGATGTCACTCATTGTTATGATGAAAATAAATATGAAAATAACAGTTCGTCCTCCTGCTGCCAAAGGAAACTGACAGTCTGTGGGAAACACTGGAAATGTTTGGTATGGGAAAATATCCCGTGTGCAGCTGAACATATGTAGCAGGCAGTGTCCACCTCTTGTTACCAGTGAAAGCATTGAAACATTACATAACTCATTACATGGCTTTTCTTCTTCTGTAATTTACAGAAAACAAAACAGTTTAAAGAGCAGCCAGCCACTTACTGACCCTCAACAGCTAACCCTACTTCACATTACAACTATACTGTAGTAACTAACTGCTGAAGGAAACTATTGCTGATAGTCATAATGCCATGACATGTATCTGCTTCGGACTGTCCTGACTTCAGTATGTAGCATTAGGACACTGTTGTATTTTGATGCATCCTGGTGGCTTTACTTGAGTCTTGATGTCGACAGAGGTGCAGGACTCATGATGTGCATCATACACCACTGGTACATATGCACACTCAAACCTTTCATTCCTTCCAATATAAATAAATGCCTGTTTAAACACTGTCTATCTGAATCTGAATCAGTTTTTGCATCTCATATCTCTTCAGGTTTAAGCCTGAGAACTAAAACAGAGTAGACTGAAATTCAAAAAAGTGATATCAAACTTTTGCCTTCAGGTTTAAGCCTGAGAACTAAAACACAGTGGACTGAAATTCAAAAAACTGATATCAAACTTTTGCAATAATTATATCATGAACGTTACATATCCTGTATGCTATTTATTTAAATGCCGACATGAACATTTTTACTTTGAAAGATTTGTTTAGAGCTTCACTGGATAAAATTGACAAATCGATATCCAAAATAAAACTGACCAGGTTTAAAATCACTGTTAAAGTAATATAGCAGTGGTCAAAACTAGCAGCAGGGGGAGTGTGTATGTGTGCATGAGTGCACGTGTGTGCGTGTCTTCTCACCTGCATGTAGGCAGCCCACAGGGCCATGCAGTTAGCGGGCAGCCCCAGAACAATGACTATGATGTAGAGTGCGGGTTGGAAGAACTGGTCCACCTTACTGTCCACATCACAGAATGAAATGTTGCACATTGTCCTGTGTGGATCACTCAGAGATTGTGTTTGTGTTTGTGTGTGTGCAAGTGTGTGAGCCATGTTCAGCTACTCTCAGCTCTGTGCATCCCTCTGTAGTTTCACTATATTCCTGCTCCAGCAGTGTGACAGTGACATGGCGACTCTGGCATCCTGCTCAGCTAGCACATGGCTGTCCGACTTGGAGGAACAGAAGAAAACAGAACTGTCATTTGTGAGGCATTTCATGGTTCTTGTTTCTCAGAACACTGTCTTTCTTGCTCAGGGTCCTTGGGGTTTCATAGTCCTTCTGCACTCTTCAAAACTCAGATCTATTATGAGAGGGAGAGGCGGAACATTAGTGTGTGTGTGTGTGTGTGTGTGTGTGTGTGTGTGTGGAGGTGTGCCTCAAGGTCCTGTTGACACACAAACCTCCTCAGGGATGCTTGCAGTAAAACACAGAAATGACTTTCCAGAGCTTCAGCACTTCAGAGCTGACAGGTCGTCCATTCTCTCTGGACTCCTGAACATCTGTGACAGAGAGAGGGAGACTGGTTATGATGCTTTATAATTAAATTCCCACAAAACAAAAAAGGAAATGTTTTTGTGCAAGTGAAAATGATTCATTCTCAACAGAAAACTAATTAATAAAACTGTAACACAACTAAAAAAAAAAAAGAGAGAAAAACTATAAGTAGAAAAAATATGTAAAAGGAAAAAGAATACAAATACTTTTCATTAACCTACAGCTCAAACTTGATCATCAGGTTTTCAGATGACACTACAGTAGTGGGGCTTAGCAGTAACTATGATGAGGGACCATACAGGCAGGAGGCGGAGTGGCTGACCACATGGCACCATGGTCTGCCTTATAAACACGTGTGACCCCTATCCACTCACCATATCATCCCCCTTGCTCGTCTTTTAGACAATTTTTTTTTTCTTTTTTAACTTTTTATTTATTTTTAGGTACATTTATTATTATCTTGCTCTGTTCTTAATAAGTACTGTGATGTTGGTGAGGAACTAATTTCGTTTTAGTGTATGTAAGGACATGGAGATGACAGTAAAGGAATCTGAATTTGAAATACTTTAAATTTTTACTCACTTTTTTTCTCTATGAGGCTCCAGCTCTCCATTAAGCTGAATTATTCAAACCCAAGTCCAACACTGGATCAACAATACTATAAATATCTAACTGGCCATTTTATATACACTTCACTGACAAATTTGGTATATTTGAAGATACAATTTACAACAAATGTTCTTTGGTTTGACCGATGTTTGGCAGCACAGCGTGAATTTGTAATGGCTGGGGTTCAAACTAAACATGATGCTATTTGTGCAGTAATTTATATTCTCCATGCCTCATACCAGCCAAGAATGCAGAAATAAAAACAGAAAATCCATCAAACAGCCACATGTCCTATCTCTGTTTTGCTATCTTGGCTTGTCTTAGCTCTCTTCACTCAACAACCACAAAACTGTGTGTTTCAGCCTTATTTCCTGTAGTCAGCTGCTGTGCTCTACATGCTTAATACACTGCAGGTTCTTGTCACAAGACTCAGACCTGCAGTTTTTAGCCATTTGCCTGGAATGAACACATCCTCAACACATAGCGTCAAACTGTTTTCTTCTAATATATTGATTATTGAATATTTCGTGTTGCGCCAAACATTCGGGAAAATGTGTGCATAAAAGGATGAAGCATGATCGCTGGGCTGACAGAAATGGAAGCAAGAGGCACAGAGTGGATTCATGCAGCAAGCACAGTGCAGCAGCTGGAGGTTATCTGGGTGACTTTCATGGAGACTTTCTAATATGTGCTCCTATATGATAACACAGAACATGCTTACACAGCTTAGAGGCACAAGAGGACCGTGCATAGACTGCAAACAGAGGGTACAGATCAAATAATAAGCATTATGTAGACCTTTATATAACATAATCTGAATGTAAATGCACAGCACAGAAAGTGCTGGAGTTTAGTTTCACTCCTTGATGTTTCACTTTCCATTCTGAGGTCAGTTTCAGCTTTGACCACCCTGACATTTTTGTATATGAGTTCAATCACTTTACTTAAATACATTCTGAAGCTGTGTAACAACCCATCTGACCACCACAACCCAAGGGTTTATCTGTGTATCAGCTTCTTTTCATTCTTAGATCAATAGATTTCAGAATTAACTTTCAAGGTTTACCAGCATGAAAAGCCAACTGGATGTTGCTGCTTTCATACATTTCAGTGAAATGTTTATCACTGAAAAGCTTGAATTTGGCTTAAAAAAATAATATCAAATCAACCCAGTCCTTCTAGCAACCACCAGAGGATGTGTTTTTCATCGTCTTAAACACAATATACAGTAATTCATGGACTCAACTTTCCTCTTATGGCTGGAAACTCACCCAAATCGACTACATTCATTCTTTGTGGAGCCATCAACTGCAGATTTCCTGGCATCTGACCACTAGTTAAATAATTTGAAGAAGAATGAATGAGCAATTCAGCCAAATGATTCCTTCAGTACAAAGCTGACAAGTAGATTTGAGGATGGTACATAGGAATTGTTTGTGTAATGGAAATACAATGACCTGATAGTTAGGCAAGTCATCAAAAACATTAGAAATGATTCTTTGGGGACAACAAACGTACACAAAAGCCTTTATGAAAGTTTAGCTGTCAGGCTGGTAATGACCAGCCCCGACAGAACTAAAAGGAGCCCTATGACACTACAGTCCATGATCAAAGCGCTAAAGAGAGGCTGTGATTGCACTTGTAGGCTTGATGACTGAAAAGAAGTCTCACATTTGTCTGCCAGCACACAGCAAACCAGTACACAGATGTGTGAAGGAAACAGCTTCACCCTATGATAATGTGACAGTCACTGGTGTGGAACAGCCACTTTGGACTAAGCTAACCCAGTTCCACAGTCATATACACAAATGTGTATGCAGACACACACACAGGAGCTAAGTGAGGTCTTTTCTACAGTGACCTTGTCACGCTCTTTGTTGGGGAAACAATCATGTTGATAAGCTGAATCACAACTGTGTCACAACTCGGCTGTTTTCACACACATTACCTCCCCAGTACAGAGATATGTGACTGTTCTTTGGTTAATCATCTTTACAAAAAGGTCTCACACTAATACTGACCTACAATTTCACAAAAAAGCCTTGTCTGTCCCTTTTCTACACTCACTGGCCACTTTATTAGGTACCCTTGTACAACTGTATCCAATTCAATGCAACACTTCCATCTTATATTCAGAGGTGTTCCTAATATTCTCACTCTCTCATGTATGTAGCTGGGGAGGACAAAACTATAGAGACACCTCTAAATATAATGTAGTCCAGTACAACATCACCTTTAACTATGACCTCAGTGATAAACATAGAACCACATTTATGACAATTTCAACAAAAACTGAAACATTTTGAGCTTTGTAAACACAGATGTTAAGGTGGAAGTGTTGCACTGAATTGCATATAACTGTGCAGGTGTACCTAATGAAGTGGCCAGGGAGTGTATATCCATTGTTTTACAGGGGGTGGATGTCAATCTGGAGGCAAGTGTCTCATGTTTTTCCTCTGAAAGGTTTTGTTTAAACTATTACAATTCCATATCAAAACAAGTGAACAGTGTCTCTGCTGTCTCACAGAGGAATGCTAGAAAGGCCAAATAAACTTTCTGTGTTTTAGGGAATAAAATTCTCTGGAGCTTTTAAAGGAGCACTGTTTGGGAAACTCCATACAGCAGTGCAAACAGGACTTTAGTGTCTTGGTTAAGATGCAGGATTACAGTAGCTAAGGCAACATGTAGCATAAAATAAAACAATGTTTTTCTAATTGACATTTTTCTTGTGTGTGAACAATGTATGACAAGAACAAATGTCATCTTTATTTGCATTCACCATTATTGCCAAAAGTCACCAAGTCGCTTAGTTTCACTATAACCAGTGGATAAAGTATTCAAATGCATTCATCTAAGCTTGCAATGCTCCATTAGTTCTAAATGAATGCATGAATTGTGTTAACAGTGCAGTTACAATTAGTGTTAAAAGCATTCATAGTGAAGTTTACTTTCACCCATATCTCCATGTGGATTCTTGTGCTTTCATAAAAGGACAGAACAAGGGATGGAGAAAAGAATAGAGGGAAAGGGACAAACCAACAGTTATAAAGTTCATTAAACTACAAATAACATATAATATCAGTACCTTTAATTGTATTTAAGTACAATATTTGAGTAAATGACTTTACAACTTGATAATGATAGCAACTTCCTGAGAATGAACATCTGCTTCAAAGACATTCCAGAAACCAGTGGCTGTGTGAAGTCGTCACATCTGTGCACACCCAGCACCACAGAGCACACTCACTTTCTCAGTAGATAAAACAGCAGGGAGACATGCTAGTGACAAACCACCACCGATCGACCCTATCACTCCCACGCTCGGCTCTTATTGTGTGTGGAGGGGTCTGGCCCTAAGCTCATATCAAACTATGGAAATGTTCTGACTGAAGTTACTGTAAGATAAAGTATTAAAGTATGACTACACCCTGTGCAGCTGCTACAGAGGAGGAGCAGGGGTGTTGTGTCTTGTTCATTTACCTGAGCAATATGACTAACACAGGGTGACATGAGTTTGTTTCCCAGTTGTGTTGTAAAACAAAATAAATGGCAACAGACACACAACTCTCTGTTGGTGGTTTGTGTGCATACTGTATGTTTGTGTGTGTATGTGTGTGTGTGTGCATGTAATCTCCTGGGAGGTCTTCTCATGCTGTCAGGTCAGTTGGCGGCAGCTGACCGGCCTCCTCAGCAGTCAGACATTTGGCACGTGTATGTTGCACACACCTGCAGAGTGTGATGGCTACACAGACCTCTGCTTGAAATAAATACAGAAAAATGATGAGCTACTAGTTTTATTGTTTTCAAACATTAGTACCACTATGGAGCGGTGTGATATGTTGAAAGTTGATGGCTGTAAAATTTAGTGAAGGAGAAGGCTGCTAGAATACATACATGTAAACAAATATATATATATACACACAAACATTTATAAAGTTTATATAAACTTTATAAATGAAAATAAACTCTGCATTTTTAAAGTTTATAGAAACATTATAAATGTTCTATGAGGAACATTTATGAACAAAAAATGTTCAACAATGTGTCAGAGCTCAAGAAAAGAGCCACAGACTAATATACTTTATTAAATCAATCATCATTTATTAAATCATCCTCAGTGTGACTGTGTCTGATGTGGGAGCCACATCTGGAGTCCTTCACTTGCAGA